TTCAAAATCATTATATATATATATATATATATATATATATATATATATATATATTTACCTTTACAATAATTAAAAAAAGTATAAAAAAAATCTCTCTCAAATGCAACACTTGATAATTTAAAGTTATGTTGAGGTTTGTTTTTTTTTGAATGTGATGATTTTGAAACAATTATAATAAACAAATATAATGTAAAAATTAAATAGTGATTATTTCTTCATTTTATTAAATTATTCATGATTTTTTAATATAATTTAAAAATGTATAAAAAAACAAAAAAAATTAGGTGCAATTCTTTGATTAGAATTGAAATTTTATTTCAATAATATACATAAATATTAATATAAGATCTACATTTTTTTGGTATAATAAGAAAGCGAAAGAACAAGAAACAAAGACAAGAGAAAGGAAAAAAGCCAACTAAAGGAAGGCTAAATCAAGGGAGAAGCTATCTAGCACAACATGTGGTTAGCTTCCAAGAAGACTTTCCCCTGAGTTTGGCAAGGATATCAGCAATAGAATTGGAATCACAAGGAGTATGTGTCACCAAGACAGTCTAACACTTCTCCAAATGGCTACGGATTTGGAGGATCACTTGCGCATGAGGGCGAAAATTTAGATCAGATTGCCCATGAAGTTAGATGAAAAACACATAGAAGGGAGGTTAAATATGTGTGTACATGAACGAGGAAATTTTGAAATCGTTTTGGCAGAAAGATTCTTTTTCGTCCAATAAAAATTATTTTGAATACTTAAAGATTGTGCAGGATTGACTTAACAAAATATTTCCCGTTTGAAAGTTTTTCGTCTGCACAAAGAAAATGTTTCTTAAGAAATATTAAGTTAAGCACGTATATTTTACGTCTGAAAAGAATCATAGTGAAAATTAAGCATTGGATGAAGTTTTCAATATAATATATCAGTTAACTGAACTTGCGTCTGAAACGTAAGTAAGCAGTGTAAGGATTTTTATACTAGTTTGCTCAGACTGAGTTACGTCCAGTCTCCTTCAATTGAAGGGTTCAACTAGATATTCAATGAAGTACAAGTATTATCACCATTTCTAGTTTGTCAAGTATTGTTGACCACTTATGGCCCGCCAATTTTACTTGTCAGCGCTAGTATTGTTTGTTCAGCCTCTTCAGGTTTTCAGTAAGTATTCTCGACCACTACTGATCCCGAGTATTATCAACCACTCCTGGTTGGCTAGCTTCACTCACTATCTCTAGTATTCTTTGTTCAGCCTCGCCTCTTCAGGCTCTCAGTGAGTATTCTCGACCACTCCTAATCCCGAGTATTATCAA